ATTCTTTATGGCTGTAGTGGTTTGCTTTATTTATAAAGCGGGTGAAAGTCTTTTTCAGTAATGTTAATGAAGGAAGTGCTCCCAGTCGCCTAGACTACAAATAAGCAAGAGTGTCGAGCAAACAAGTTCTGGTCTCATTTGTTTACAATTGTTTTCTTTCTCCTCTAGGTGGTGTTTTACAAATGATATGTTAAAAAGAAATCTATTCTTTTTTTAAGGTCAAGAAATCTATTCTTAAAGGATCAAGAGTGTTGATTAGAGGGGTGAATAGCTGACTGATTGTTAACCAGTTTGTTTGATTTAGTGAAATGTGGGCATGTAACTTATCTAAAAAAGCACATGCGAATCACTTTATATGGCGCAAGGAAACACTAGTAAGCAAGACTATCAAAAAAGACTTGCTAGGACTATATTGAGCTTAAGGGCATCTCCAGCCGTTTAGCCCCCCGGGAGGCATTTTTTCGCCCTTTGGTGGGCTGCCGGCGAAAATTTTATCCTGAGGGTCGAATGCTATCCACTCGTTGCCCCTCCCCACCGCCCAAGCACGCCTTCTCGCCACCGCCCCGCTCTGCAGCCTCGCGCCCGCGACCCGGCCGACTCCTCTTCGCCCCCGTCAGCCTCTCCCGCTCGACTGCGCGGCAACAACCTCGGCCCGCTCGCCGGCGTCAGCCCGCTCGCCCGTGCGGCCGCAGCCCCGGCTCCGCTCCCCCTCCCTCCCAAGCCCCATGCCATGCTGCCGCCTGCCCGCTGCCTACTCCACACGGGCCCGCCGGCGAACCCGGGCGTGCTGGCGAGGAGCAGCACCAGCGACCTCGCCCCCGAGGGCGACGCCCCAGCCGGCAGCGGGTTGGTGCCCCGCGGGGTACGGGCTAGATCCTGGTCGCTTGCGCGCTCGCTTGCGTCCGGCCGCCTGCGCCTGGCCGCTCGCGAGCCGGATCAGCTTCCGACGAGCTCTTCGACGAAGGCAAGATCCGGCCGCTGAAGCCCACCACTTCCGTCGCGTCCGCTAGACGATGGCAGCGTCGTCTTGTCGACATGGTCGGCTCGTCGCCAGGTCCGCCATGTGGTCTCCTCGGCTTGGGGGCCTGGCCGGGCACGGGCACGGGCACGACTTCGACCCGTTCGCCACAGCCATGGCGAATGCGTCCAAGGCGGCCGCGCCATCCCCCTCGGCGCCGGCGTCAAAGACGCAGCCCCCATGGTCGCCACGCTCGGGGCCGGGGCTGCCCGTGGCCGCTGCGCCCGGTGCTGGGGCCGCCCGTGGCAGGCCTTGCCGCCCGTGCCCGCCCACAGCGTCGCCAGCCGCCTGGACCACGGCCGCACGCCTCGTCGACGCAGGGCTTCCTGGCCGCCTAGACCACGACTTCCTGGCCGCCGAGTCCTTGACGCTGGCCAAGACGGAGCTCCCCGGCATGGCCTTCGGCTGCGGCGACACGAACGAGGATGACGGGTTCCTGGCGTGGAGGCGGCGAGCGAGGCGGGGAGGCGACAGGTGGGGAGGCGGGCCCGGGCAGAGAAAAAGGTTGGAGAGAGAGGGAGTGGGAGGCTGAATGTGGGCCAAACGCATGCAAAATCTTCTCTCTCCACCCCCAAGTGCCCCCCGGTGGGCTGGGTTTCGCCCGGGACTGCCGGCTCTATTTTTAGCCAAATCCGGCGAAAACTGAGCTTTTGGGGTCCCGACTGGGAGAAAAATTAAGCGCCGACGTGCAAAATGTGCTCGTGGGGGGCATCCTGGGGGGCCGGCTGGAGATGCCCTAAATAACGGTAACGTAGGAATAACCAATAGCGAAACAAGCATTACCTCCTTTTTTCAAGGGTAGCGCTACCTTTGGCAATCAAGCCCCATCAACTCTGGCCAAGTCACGATATCATGTATTTTGGAAACAAAAAACTCAATTTAGTAGCCAAAAAGGTTTGAGATTTTACATCATTACGAGAGTAATCAAAATATTGATTATAGAAAGACCCGCACAAATTGATGATTATGTTTCTTGTGGTGGAACTAGCTCACTAGGTTCAACTCCTCTTGGCACTAATGGTCGCATTTTTCTGGATTTATTTTAGATTTTCTGGCGATGTTCGTTCAAGAAAAGACATTTCCGTCGACTACGAGACGTCTCCGATGACTTCATCAATTTTAAGATGTTATGCCGGCTCAATATCTCGAAAATGCTCATATATGTAGGATCTGCGTGGTTGTGTTTATAAGGGCAAGTGCATGGCGTGTATGTAAGCATATGTAGGCCCAGCAAAAAAGATGATTACCTAAACAGGTACTAATAACCTTTATTTGTGAATTCAAAAAATAACCTTTATTTGGACGCAAAAGGATACTAATAACCTTTTTTGCAAACAAGGTCTATCCTACCTTGTGTAGAAAAAAAAAGGAATCGCGAAGTAGATGGGCTTTAGAGCGTCATCGAATCATCCAAGATTCAAGCCGATATTCGCATACCCATATCCTGTTTTTTTTTTATTTACGGCGGCCCATATTCTGTTGTGGTCCGTCGTTTATTTGTTGGGCATCATTATTGCGAAAATGGTCTGGTCTTCGTTTTGTTCGACAAGACAATTAAAAGGGTGCTTAGTGTTCAAATAAGCACAATGATCAGATGGCCGAGTTGGTCTAAGGCGCCAGATTAAGGCTCTGGTCCGAAAGGGCGTGGGTTCAAATCCCACTCTGGTCATATTTCCTTTTTACTTATTTTCTTCAAAAAGGAGTCCCCCGATAGGGCCGTACCATTGATTACAATAATGAATAAATACTCTACTTTTTCTAAAAGATACTGCACTTAAATATAGTATTCAAATCATGATTAATCTAGATCAATTTCCACTCTAATCAATTTGTTCTTTTTGTTTTCTTGAATAGAGAACTTACCGAGTACTATCTCCGTCCGGATTTATAAGTTCCATTGCATTTTGGTCAAACTTTTGACCAAAAAATTAAGCAGCAAAAATATAGGTAATACATCATAAAATTTATAGCATTGGATTCGTATTTGAAGGAGTTTAAATGATATTATTTCAAATACATAAAGGATATATTTTATTTTCTTCAAAAGGATTACAATAATTCATATTTGAAGGAGTTTAAATTATTTGTATTTTCTTTCTATTTACTTCAAAAGGATTCCCCCGGTAGGGCTATAGCATTGATTACAATAATGAATAAATACTCCACTTTTTATATAAAAAAATATTGCGCTTAAATATAGTATTCAAGTCATGACTAATCCAGATCAAATTCAAGCCTGATCAATTTGTTTTTTTCTCAAATAGTGAACTTACGGAGTACTATCTCTGTCCGGATTTGTAAGTCCCAGTGCATTTTGGGTCAAATTTTGACCAAAAAATTAACTAGCAAAATATAAGTTATACACCATAAAATTTATAGCACTGGATTCGTATTTAAAGCAGTTTTAATGATATTATTTTAAATATATAAAAGTTATATTTTATTAGTTAAATTAACGATCAAAGCTCAACACAAAATACAAAGGGTAAACTAGGCCCGAAAAACTCTGGTCATATTTGCCTTTTTTTATTTTCTTCAAAAAGGAGTCCCCCGGTAGGGCCGCACCATTGATTACAATAATAAATAAATATTCTACTTTTTCTAAAAAAATCCTGCACTTAAATATAGTATTCAAATCATGATTAATCTAGATCAAATTCCACTCTGATCAATTTGTTCTTTTTGTTTTCTTGAATAGAGAACTTACCTAGTACTATCTCCGTCCGGATTTATAAGTTCCATTGCATTTTGGTCAAACTCCGTCCGGATTTATAATCCTGCACAATTACGCTCCTCCTACCACTGGTTGTGGCCAGGCTTCTTGATGTCGGACAAGTACGATGCTGGTTGTCGTGTCACGAGTCCTCTCGCTTGGTCTTGGCACCAAAGCAATCTAGAAAAATTCAAACAGTCTGACAAGACGACAATGGAGTCAGACGATTGAATGCCGCCATCTGGTTGTGTCACCGCCGTCTTTGCCGTGATGATATCACCGTTGGGGCGAGCACACTAAACTTGGAATCAAGTTTTGGGAAAGGGTTGGGCCAGGATATATCGCCTAGTTTTTTTAAAAAAAAAAATCGTATTGCTAGGTGTCGCTCAATGGAGTTAGTCTATATATCTGAAGCCCACGACCAGGTTTTATATGAATTTTCCCATCATGACTGATGACGTACATACTATTAATGAATAAGTACCCAATTTAGCAGTTAGGGCAAACTCACCCTTCAAGGCTCTCCTCAGCGAGCACATGGATTCACCTATCGTTCCGACGGCCGATAGGAGAATTTCAGTGGCCGGTAGGAGAATCCCGATGCCTCGGATCTGGCTAGTAGTTTAGGTTAAGGGTTTTAGTCCTTGCAAGGTCGACGCTCGCGCGGATGACAACACTTCATCTTCGAGTTAGTATTCTGGGCCTCCTTGAGTTCATTCATTTGGACAAAGCTTCGAGATAGATTCATGTCGTCTTCTTGGGGAGGCGAGGTTAGGGTTCTCATCGTGTGTTGACAATGGTGAGATTGGCAAGGTTAGGGTTATCATCGCGCGTGGGCGATGACAATATTTGGTGTCAGGTACTTCAAATCATTTCAATGGTTCAACAACAACGACTGTGGGGTATTTACGGCCACGTGCACAAAGTCTTGGAGGCTATCATTGACAAAGTTCGGTAGGGGAGTGGCGACAACAACGCTTTGGCAACTTGTTCTGACGGCGGTAGTGGTTGTTCGGTTGTCCAAAGATCTCGATGTAATTCTTATTATGCTTGCTTTATACTTTCGATGGGCTTCTGTAATAAATTCATTTTCTTTAAACACCCAATTTAAGTCATGACAATAATAGAAGGAGTGTTTGATCTTCAATAAAGGTAGAAATTCTCGTATCTCGTATGTACATATATAGTCCTAATACAAATTTAATATACTAGTCCTAGTACTATTGTAACTAAGGAGTATGCGCTAAAAAATAATAAGGAAAAAAAAGCCTAGATGTCCAATTCGGAGAACACTAAATCAAGCGTCGTTGTCCTGCTTCGCTTGGCCGGAGTACGGATGAGCGCCTCCACGGTGTACGGGCTGTTCTTGCTCTGTCAAACAAAACCAAAACCATCCATGCAAAAATATCAGCACAAACTCAACGAAATTCGTGCAATGCAAATTAGTCCCAGAAATCAACACATCGAGAGGAATAGATTGGAGATTGGATAGTCGTTGTTTGGTACCTTGGAGCAAGTGCGGTTCTCGGCGTTGCAGACAGGGTAGTCGGACGGGCAGCAGGTGGCGCCGTCCTTGCAGCAGGTGGCGCCCTTGGCAGGGCAGCACCCCCAGACGAAGCACGTCTTCCTGACGCCGTGGGTGCAGCAGCAGGTGCTCCCCGCCGGGCACTTGCTGTGGCGGTCGCAGGCCACCGGCTTCGGCTTCGGCGGGTTTGGCGGCTTGGGTGCCGGGTTGGGCCCGTTCTTGACGGGGTAGGACGCCATCATGGCGATGCCGCACTTGCCGGTGCGCGCGGTGACGTTGCGCTCCATCCGGATGTAGCCGCCCTCGCCCCAGTCCGGGCCCCATGAGTTGCGCACGCTCCAGTAGTCCCTGCCATTGTCGGTCCCGTACCCCACCGCCACCACGCCGTGGTCCAGCTCCGTGCCGCACCTGCTGGTGAACACCCCCGACTCGTACAGCTGGAACTCGGGGCCGCCGGCCTCGATGCCCACGCTCACGGGCTGGTGCGCCACCGCCTTCTTCAGCGACAGCTCGTCATTCTCGGGCACGGACTCGAAGCCGTCGATGGACACCACCGTGCGGCCCCTCTTGGCGAGGTCGCACCTGCCGTCCCTGGCGGTGTAGGGGTAGTCTTCCTCCGTGTCGATGCCGCCGTTCCGGGCGATGAAGTCGAACGCGTCCTCCATCATCCCGCCGTTGCACCCGCTGTTCTGCCCGTTCCTCGCGCACTCCACCAGCTCCTGCTCCGACAGCGTCACCAGGTCGCCGGTGACGATCTTGTTGATGCCTTCCACCGCGCCGACCGCCGAGAACGCCCAGCAGCTGCCGCACTGGCCCTGGTTCTTCACGGGCGCCACGGCGCCCTTTGTCCTCCAGTCCACGGACTCCGGCAGCGTCTCGGCGCCGTCGTGGAGGTACCTCTCGCCGACGGCGTGGCGGCCTTGGCCGCTCGGGATGGCGCCGAGGTAGGCCGCGCGGAACTCGTCGTTGGTGAGGTCGGCGAAGCGGTTCATCCCGAGGCGGAACCCGTGGGCGTCGGCGTCGGCGTTGTGGGCGTCGACGAGCCTGAGGTTGTCCCAGAACGCCTGGAAGCGGCGGTCGTACTCGCCGAGTGCACTGTACGAGCGGCCGTGCCGCGCCAGCCAGTGGTCGTACATCGCGCGCACCTCGGCCTCCGTCCGCTCCAGCCCACGGACGGCGTGCGCCGAGTTGTACGAGACGATGGACATGTCGGGTGCGGCGGCTGCTGCTGACGAGGCGAGGGCGAAGAGTAGGAAGGCCAAGACCACGGCCACGGCGGCCGCGGCCTTGCTGCCGCCCGCCATGGTCGCGCAGGTGTCGCGCTTGTCTTGGTAGGTCGTCGACAGTCGATGATCGAGAGCTATGGATTCACGGCGAGAGTGCGCACGACGGTACGAGTTGCTCTGGCTTGGCTCGTGTTGCGTGTTTCGGGAGGCTGATGCGTCGGCCCCGGCGATGTAGTATATAGGATCGGGGCTGGTAGAGTTGCGATCGGATTCCAGTCAGCGTTCGTAAGAGGTTTTGTTTTGAAACGCGTACGTAGCAGGTTGCAAGTATACCTGGCCATTCCTCGGGCCGGGCTAACCAAAACCCGACGCAAAAAAACCCAGGCCCGAGCCCGGCCGTCAGGCCTAAAAATCGGGTCCAAGACCGGCCCATCACACTAAAAGCCCGTCAGGCCTCGGGCCACGGGCCAAGCCTCTTCCTTAAATGGTGAAATTGACGGGCCCGGGCCCAGCCCGGCCCGGGCTTCGGGCTCAAAATTTAGGCCCGAGCCCGGCCCATGGACAAGGTCGGGCCGACCGGGCCGGGCTGCCCATGGCCAGGTATAGTTGCAAGGCCGAATTAGCACAAGGAAGGTGGTTTGGTTACTACATCGATTTTCTTTGGACTCCAATGTGTCGGATCCGAGCAGGTCTAGAACAAACGAATCGTGAGAGCAACTAACTGAGGGGTGGGCTGACGGGAACGTATTTGATGCACGGGGCAATTGGTAGTACCGGTGCATCGGTCCCTGTTGCACATTAAAAAGTTTTAAAAAATTTACAAGAAATTATTCAATTGACACACCATCAATGTATGTTGTCATAAAAATTCAAATCAAAGTTCACAACATTGCTTGAGATAAAAATGACAAATTTAACATCAATGTGCTAATGGGCCTAAACTAAAGCTCAACTTGTGTTATATACTATTCAATGTCAAATTTATTGTTTTTATATCTCAAACAATGTTTCAAATTTGAACCTTGATATTTGGCACACGTGTGCCATATAGCTAAAAGTACCACACACCTTTCTTCCATCTAAATACATGCATAATTGTATTATTAGGATGAATCACTCTTATTCCACGTGTATTCTTTTCTCTAATTACATGCATCACTAGAAGACAAAAAAGTAGATCTCATCCTAGATTTTCCTTGTTTTCAAATTTTAAAATGTTTTGTAGCTCAAACCGTCGGTTCGATGTAAAAATCGTATTCACATAAAAGATTCATCGCGATGAAATCTTCGAAACTAGATCCCATGTTGGTATGTTCCAACGACTTTTTTTGAATCAGAAGTTATCACACCTCGGCTACATAAGTTAGCATGCCTGGAATATGCAACCTACCGTGGTATTTCCACATAAGTTATCAGGGTTATATTTTCTAGCAACTTTTGCCCCCTTGTTAAAAGTTACCGCGGTGTTTGTACTTAAGTTATCAGGTAAGTGATTCATATATTACCATGCTATTTTCACATAATTTATTGGAGGATGTTTTTCAACAACTTTTTTTCCTTGGTCAAAAGTTATCGTGGTATTTGTACGTAAATTATCGGGTATGTGGTTCGTATATTACCGTGCTATTTTCACATAAGTTATCGGGGTATGTTTTGAACAACCTTTTCTCTCAAAAAATACCGTGGTGTTTCTCGTAAGTTGTCGGATATATGGTTCACATATCACCGTGCTATTTTCACATAAGTTACCGCGAGGAAGAGAGTATGTTTTTCAAGAACTATTTTCCTTTTGGTCAAAATTACCGCGTTGTTATACGTAAGTTATCGAGCATGCAGTTCGTATATTATTATGTTATTTTCACATAAGTTATCTGGGGTATATGTTTTCAACAATTTTTTTCTCCCGGTCTAAAAAGTTACCATAGTGTGTGTACTAAGTTATCATGTACGTCACTGAGGTTATATTATTCAACAAGTTTTTCTCCCTGTCAAAAAAAGTTACTACGGTGTTTGTATGTAAGTTATCGAGTATGTGTTTCATATATTACCGTGCTATTTTCAGATAAGTTATGAGGTATTTTTTCAACTACTTTTTCTCGGTCAAAAACATTACCATTGTGTTTGTCCGTGAGTTATCGAGTCTGTGATGCGTATATTAGCATACAATTTACACCGAAATTATCGGGGTATGTTTTCAAACAATTTTCCCTCTAGAGTTAAAAATTCATCGGGTGTTCATGTGCAAGTTATCATATATGTGGTGTGCATATTATCAACGTATTTACACATAAGTTACCGTGATATGTTTTTAAACAACTTTTTTCCCTGGCCCAAAGTTTACACACGTAACACGGAATTTACTAGGATGGGGGTTCTTAAACAATTTTTTTCTAGAGCAAAAGTTATACGTAGGCTAAGTAAGTTACTACGCATACAATGTGTATATAATCTTGCTATTTACACATAAGTTACCGGGAGTATATTTTTGATATCTTTTTTCCTTCGGAGCCAAAATGTTACCAAGGTGTTCGTGTGCAAATTATCATATCGGTACTGTGCATATTATCAAGGTATTTACATAGAAGTTACCGGGGTAAATTTTTAAACAATTTTTTCCTGGGCAAAAAATTACCAGATGTTTGTACCTGATTTATGAGCTTTGTGGCCTGTATAGTACCGTCATATTTACACAGAAGTTACACGGTGGTATATTTTCATGAACTAGGTACGGTATTGGAGCTGCAAGCCATGTCATGCATGAACCAAAAACAACAGCAATTCATCATCATGGATCCAAAAAAAGATGCATGTTACACATCCAAATGAGTGTTATGATTTTGTCTTTACTACTACTGTAATAACCAGAGGAGCACATTGCAAAGTGCTGATATTTACATTGTTGATCTGCTCCCTACTGATCTTCTTTAGCATTGACAAGATTAGGTACATGTAAGGGGACACTCATCATCTGCATATTAGCATATGCCATCTCACCATTAGGCACAAACAGACAAATAGTTCAGACTTCAGTAGATTCAGAAATCGCATTATCTTGAGTCGCCTTGGAGGAAACAAAATCATGCAGAATGAGAGGTCCAAATCCATAGCCCAGCTTCTTTTATTAATCTTGATGGTACCATCAACCACCATCAACCAGGAAGACAAGACTCTCGGTTGAACAGATAGTAATGCTCTGAAAACAAACACCTATTTGAAAGACGGAGAAACCTAAACTTCAGAGAAATCCATCATAGGGACCTGAGTAGAGCAGAGCAACCTCAAGCAAGAGCAGTATATGCATTTGCAGAAGAATGGAATCAACTTGTGGAACGGCGAAGTAGGAGAGGTCAAAGAGACCAAGTCGCCAAAGATTGGAACGTCCCCTGGTCATGGCCGCCTGGTCATCGGTGTCGCTGCCGCCACTCCCGCCCTTCCTCTCCATGACAACCCACACCATCATCTCCCTCTGCAGCGTCGTAGCAGCTCGCCTGGCCCCGACGTTGTCCTCGCCTCTGTTCGGTTTCAGGGCGAGGTCCATACCTGTCTCTCGCCTACATGCATGAGCCATGCTCCCAACAAAAATCCCCGGCCCTTCACCTCACCGGGGGACTCCAGCCGGTGAAGCCACCCGCGTTGGGCGCCGCCATGGCTGGGCGCCGGCTGGTGGAGCGGGCCGCGTCGGAGGGATTGAGAAAAGGTATGGGCGTGCGGCGGTAGGAGTCACGCGGGGGGCAGGATGAAGAGGCGCTCGCTGGGGCGGGCACCAGGGAATGGATCTGGCTGGGGCATGATGAGGCGTTGGGTCCAGACACGACCGCAGGCTCAGGTTTGAAGCCCGGGAGGAGGAAGTGGAGTAAGGCGCCGTCGGCTAGGCGTGGGGGAGGAAGACGGGAGGAACATGACCGGGATATGCAAAATCAGAAAACGGGAAAAGAGGATCATGCCTGGGATGCCGATCGAAGGGCTTGGGAACCATGTGGTAGTTTTGCAATCTGTCACACGGTTGCCACATACATATTTTGTTCAAATTTTAATTGGAATTTTTGTGACAATATACATTGGTGTTGTGTCAATGCACTAAATTTTTGTCAGATTTTTTCTAACACTTTTAGTGTGCAACGGGGGACCAGTGCGTAGGTAGCACCAATTGCGTTGGTGCACCCGATATGTCCCCGTGGGCTGACATCGTATCACTTCGCGCCCTCTCAGCCGTCGTCACGTGTTGCTTTTGGGCACTCTCTTAGAATTTTGTTTTTGAAAAAAAATTGTATGTGTTTTCAGGGTTTAGATGGCTTTTTTGGCTTTTCAGTTTCCGCCAGGTTTTCACAAGATTTTGGAGATTAAAAAAACACAAAAAGAGTTTCTTTTTTGCTTCCATGAGAGTCACATTTGTGCCTCTCGAAAAAAAAAGCGTGTTTTTTTGCTTTCATAAGAGGAACATGTTTGCTTCTTGTGGATGCACATGTTTGCTTTTTGTGTAGGCACATATTTGCTTCTGCCAGAGGCACATATATGCTTCTCAGAAAAGGAAAACAAAGTATTTTTTTGCTTTCACGAGAGAAACAAATTTGCTTCTCACAGAGGCACACATTTCCTTTCGCGAGAGGCTGCCTCTCGAAAAGAAAGGATAAAAATATGTATTTTTTTCTTTCACGAGAGACACATGTTTTGCTTATTGTGGAGGTACACGTTTGCTTCCTTGAGAGGCACAATTGTGCTTCTCGAAAGAGGAAAAAAATGCTTACCATGAGAGGCACAAATTTGCTTCTGCGGGAAGCATAGTTGTGCCTCTTGGAAAGAAAAGGAATAAAAAATGTTCCGACCATAGTTTTTTCTATTGGTTTTTTTGTGAAAAAGTGCATCAAAACCTAGTACAATGTGATTTAGTTTTGAATATCTCGACGCGTGAAATCCAACAGTTAAAACGGTTGATAATTTGGACACATGGTTTAAAGGATAAAATGTTTTGAGTTCCAATTTATGAAAAAGGAAACTCCCAGATTGCCACTTGTCAGCACATAATGATTTGGGAGTGATCTTTGCAAGGGATACCACTTAACTGTTGATTTTTTCGAACC